TCGGTGATTTACATCTGACCCACAAGATTCTGAAAAGTAATCAAGACAATTAAGAAAAATCAAGAAGGATCGCTGCAGTTGTCCGTAAAGTCATTTGCTTACCTTCAAGTATGGGGAAAGTTAATGGCCCGATACATCCACACAACTTTACGGCTTTAGGAGTGGTGGGCAAGTCCCAAAGAAACACAGACCTGTTTCCCACCCTGAAGCAGTGGACCCCGTCACTAGGACATCAAATGCTCAGGGCCATCCCTGCAAATCACAAGTAGTGGGTTTAAGCTGTCTCCTGCAAAGTGTGGAGAACATGGAACCGGAGTCCCTAGAAGACCTCCGTCCTGAGTGGGATGGAGTCACACCTTGGAAACTGGAGAAGACAAGGAAGGGAAGAGGGAAGAAAACCCAACGGGTGGGGCTAGGGGAGGGAACACAAAATCAGGACGAGCAGCAGGCAAGGAAATGGTACTCAGTCTTGATGAATACACCGTAGGCTGCAATGGCTTAGAACCCAGTACAGTATAAAACCAAAGAGGTCACAGAACCTTCGGCTTATGTTTGCATTCCTAACAAGGTCGGTCTGGAAATAGCTGGATCCTTGGGGATACTTTAGCCAAAGGTGATGTTGGCAGACAAAGAATGGAGGCACCTGTCCCAGTGCTTCCCTAAACTTGCTAAGGCTCGAGCATGCCTTCCGTGCATCCTTGCTGCACCCCTGAGTCCCTGTGCTCCTCGTCTGCAGGGTGATTGATGGCCGGGACATGCTGCCCTTGCTGCTGGGGACAGCACAGCACTCGGATCACGAATTCCTGCTGCATTACTGTGAGAATTTTCTGCACGCAGTCCGCTGGCACCAACGTGACGGTGAGTTCTCTGGAACACGGAGTCACGTCTTGGCTTGTACTCCCATGGCTCTGCTTCACATGAGCTCTTATTATCCCTTTCTTCACCGTATTTTCCCCTCACAGCTGCCGGATGCAAGCGGTCAGTCACCTTATCACCATATTACCATTGTTTAGGGGATTTCATGTGGCCTTCCAGAACACAGGTGTTCTAGTCTGCCTCTCATCTTTGAAACCTGTGCTCTTAACCTACATTGGTCTCCACCTGTCCCAACCACCTTATCTCAACAACATGATTTCATCCTTGTAATAATCACTAGTTTATGATATAAGCAGCAACATGCATACCAAATAATTTTTGCATTTCAAAACTTCCTGGGCTATTTTGGCCCACTGGCCTTTTAAAAGAAGTCTAAAATCATTTGCAAGGGATTTTTTTACTGTTTATTTTTTTTATAAATATTTATTTTTGAGAGAGAGTGCAAGCGGGGAAGCGGACAGAGGATCCAAAGTGGGCTCTGCATTAACAGCAGCAAACCCGGTGTGGGGCTCGAACTCACGAACCATGAGATCATGACCTGAGCTGAAGTTGGATGCTCAACCAGCTGAGCCACTCAGGATGCACTGCAAGATTTTTTTTTTTAATCCGATGGGACTATGATTTGGCTCTGCATCCCATGTATAAACTGACTCTGAGAGAAGACTGGTTATCTTTACAATATCAGATTTTCCTGACTGAGTCACGTTACGCCCCTCTACTTAGTCTTTTTGTTTAAAAAATATTGATTTCATCAAGCTCATTGTTCCCATCCCTACTAATTTCATTGTATTTTAATTGCCTCCATATTTCTATGCATCTGATCTCCATCATCACTTAAGTGGCATTGCTAGAGGTTTTCCATTGTTAGAAATTTTTTGTTTAATTCAGCTCTTGCATTTACTGTAGAACTGTTAGTTTTGAATTTTACACACAATTGATTTCTGCCGCCACCTTTGTCTTCTGGTAACAGAGTTTCATTCATTTGAGTTACTTTTCTTCATTTCTATTTCCCTTCTATTACTCTTCTGTGCCTTGACATTTTCTCCTCTCTTTTGGATTTGCCCTATGGATTGATTGGATTTGTAACTTTATGATTGCATAGGTTTTGTGTTTCTTTTCTTCCTCCACTGTTTGGGAAGGACTGTATCCTTCTTGTGATTTAACTGTTATCTTTCCATTCCTCAAAACCATCCTCTAGAAGTCTCCAGCCATCGGAATCAAGGGTGAAGGAATATCTCTTGGGGTCTCCCTTATTTGAGGAAGTTACCATATTTTTTTTTAAGTGTTTAGTGTTTTAGTGTTTAGCATTTTTTTGGAGAGGAGACAGAGTGTGAGCGGAGGAGGGACAGAGAGACAAGAAGAAACATAACCTGAAACAGGCTCTAGGCTCCAAGCTGTCAGCCCAGAGCCTGACACGGGGCTCCAACTCGTGAACTGTGAGTTTGTGACCTGAGCCAAATTTGGATGCCTAACTGACTGAGCCACCCAGGTGCCCCCTATAACATACACAGTTTTAAAATATTTATTTATTTTTGAGAGAGAGAGAGAGAGTGAGCAGGAGTAGGGCAGAGAGAGAGGGGGGCAGGATCTGAAGAGGGCTCTGCACTGACAGCAGCAAACCCAATGACGGGTTCAAATCCATGACCGTGAGATCATGAGCGCTGAAGTCAGACACTTAACCGACTAAACCACCCAGGCGCCCTTAGATTGTTTTCTTTAAACGTCCCTCCCTTTTCATCCATTATTTTCCATATTATTGTAATCTACATCCAGGCTTCAAGTTTGTTCTTTTACATTGTGGCTGCCCCTTAATGACCTCTCATCTCACAGTAACTGGGCGAATATCTCAATGTTTTTTCAAGGTCAGTAGACAGTGGGTGATTCTGGGAAGCCAGTGAGGGTACTGTTGAAGAGGCTTGAACGTCCGGAATACGCCCCCTGTCTACTGCCCCCCCCCCCCGGGTTACACATGGCTTCTCCAGACTCACTGTCGGGATACACGCGTGGGAGCCTCCCTCCCAGAGCAGCAGGAAGCCAGGAGGACAGGCTGTGCAGCTGGCACAACCCAACTCTGGGCAGGAGGCCAGTGCAGCGACCTCCCCGGTCCCTCCTTCTATTCTTTCAAAGTCCCTTCCTGAGGCAGAAGTAGGATGGGTGCCCTCCCAGAGAGGAAGGTTGGTTGCTATAGCTTGCCCCCTCCTTCCTCCCTCCCTCCTTCCCTCCCTCCTTTCCTTTCCCTAGCTGCCCAGCGCCCTGGAGCAAGCTTCATGAGAGCAGCTAGTGCCCTTGTAAGCCTCTGAGCATCCTGCCTGGAACTACCTACCACACAAGGAACTCACTCCTTTGTAGCTTTCTTGAGCTGCCCAATCTGCCCCTCCATTCATTACATCAGACACTTGGGCTTCTCCCAACACCCGTCCTCCGTCTCCACCTCAACCCTCTGAGATTCGTGTCCTTCCCTCAGGAGGAAGACTGTGGAAAGTCCACTACACAACCCCAGTGTTCCACCCACATGGAGCCGGCGCCTGCTACGGGAGAGGGGTGTGCCCGTGCTTCGGGGACCAAGTGGCCCATCACGACCCACCTTTGCTCTTCGACCTGTCCAGAGACCCCTCCGAGGCGCACGCCCTCACGCCGGACACGGAGCCCGCCTTCTACCGGGTGATGGACACGATCTCACGCGCCGTGGAGGAGCATCGCCGGACGCTCAGACCGGTCCCAGTGCAGCTGGACGCGCCGGGAAACATCTGGAAACCCTGGCTGCAGCCGTGCTGTGGCCCGTTTCCCCTCTGCTGGTGTGATCGGGAAAACGGCCAAGCATAAGCGCCTCCAGGGAGAACCAGGTCCCCCTTCCAGATCCCTGCAGGTCTTTGCTGGTGTAATTAAACCTCCCCTAGCGGGTTAAGTTATCCATTTGTGAGGGCGGACTAGTTGTGCATCTCAAAACAGGAAGTTATAAGGAAGAGGCAGCCGGGTGCAGTCACCACTAGCTAGAAGGAGCCATTGGGGGGGGGGGGGGTGTTCAGACCACCCACAAGGAAGTGGGGAGGAGCAGAGCCCCCCACCCCCAACGCAGGGACTTTCACCCACAGACCTCAGTGTCACCCAGAGGAGGCCACTCTGGCCCCATCAAGAGCTCCGAGTCTCAGCGGAAGGGAGGTCCGTGCCAAACAGATTTTCAGGCAAAGAGCAGGTGCGCACCCAATATAATCAACGACACCCCGAAAGCGTGGGAGTCGGGCCAGTTCAAAGGGCACGGGCGGATCATTATTCTTGGTGAACAAATGCCCCAGTGATTTAGAGACCCCCAGAATTTGGGGGCTGTGCTGAGAATTGCACGTCCTTCGGCTCCGTGTTGGAAGGTCACTGCGCGATGACCAACCTTCCTTGCACCGCACCTGCCCGGGACGGGACACCGGCAGGACGGGGCCTTTACTCCAGACTCCGTGCGCAACTGCCTGTCGGTGCACACACACAGACACCTAGTTCCCGCCTGTGACCCTCCCCTGAGCCCAGCATCTGCAAGGAACCACGGAGGACGCAGCTTAAACCACAGAAGTGTATTCTTCCAAAGCTCTGCAGGCCGGAAGCCCCCCAGCAAGGCGCGGGCAGGGACGGGGGCTGTAGGGCAAACTAGGTCCACTCCCAAGCTAGCGGGCAACGTTCATTCCCAATTCCTATCTCCCCCAAATGCAGAACTGAGCTGGAAGGATAACACGGGAACTAAGTAGCCCCGCTCACATTCTCCACACCCCCCCAAACTTGGACACAGAGTAGGAGTCCGCGTCCAGGACCCTGGCATTCACATCCTGCCTGCCTGCCTGCACGCCGTCAGTCCCCAGACCTTTCCAGAACTCGCTGGCAAGCGGGGGTCGCTGGCCGAGGCCTGCCGGAGGCTCCCCGTGCCCAGGCCCAGCCAGGAGGAATCATCCCCTCCCCTCCTGCACCCCAGTCTCCGGGGTGCCCGCCCGGAGGCGGCCGGACCCCGGAAAACCTGTTTCCGAGATCAATTCCCGGAGGCCCCCGGGCGCCTGCGGATCAAGCGGGTTGGGGCGGGGCGCGGCCCTGCTCCCCGGAGGGCTCAGCTGGGGACAAGGTCCTGTGCGCCCGGCCCGCGCGCGGCCATGGGACCCAGGGCTCGGAGGGGACGCGCCGCGCCCGCTGCCAGGTGCGCGGGGCCCGGGGACGCGGCCACTTGGGACGGAGATGGGGGCGCTGGGGGAGGGGTTGCACCTGGGCGAGCGCGAGTCCGGGGCCGGGCGGGGGTGCGCCTCCAAAACCCAGCTGGAGGCCCCTCCCGCCGGCTGTCGGCTGCTGGACCCGAGAGCCAGCCTTATTGGGGGGTGGGGGGGAGGCCACAGGACGCGGGGAGGGGAGGGGAGGGGAGGGGAGGGGCCTCGAGAGGCAAGGGAACACCCGGAGGGTCCTCACAGACCACGCCCCGGCAGAGCGCGGCCGGCCGTGCCCCGACCCCCACTGCCTGGGACACCCCCCTGGGCCCCGAGTACCCCCCTTCCCCCGCCAAAGCCCTCTCCTACCCCCGGAGCGCGGCCTTGTCCCCAAACGGCAGAGACCGGTCCCACCTACCCCCCCTTGGGTCTCTTACCCCCCCCCCAACAGCCGGG